ATATTGAAATCACCTATATGAAGATTGTTTTTTTTGGTAAAATAAAATTTCAAGGACATTCTTAAGACTTTCAAAAAATCTTTCTATTTGACTGCTAGGGGATCTTTGAATACAAATTATCATTATATTAATATTTATTATATCAATAACAGTGATCTCAAAGTCTTTTCCTTGAGGGAGGATATTTAAGTTATCTTTATACGTTTTACGGCAAAAGTGGTTTGCTATTGTATAGTTTTCCAAATTATAGGTGTTGACTGCTAACTCACCTAGCCAGTGTTCACATAGGCAGACAAAATCATATGCTAAGTTCTAGTTCGTCCATTTTGTTTATACGTTTTACGGCAAAAGTGGTTTGCTATTGTATAGTTTTCCAAATTATAGGTGTTGACTGCTAACTCACCTAGCCAGTGTTCACATAGGCAGACAAAATCATATGCTAAGTTCTAGTTCGTCCATTTTGTTAGGAAGGCTCCTGATGTTCAGAAACAGTGTGTTGATGGCAGCTCACTGTAGCCAGGCATTAGGACTACTATTATAGTTATCATCTAATTGGGTTGTATCTTGGCATTCATTTAGGCAGATTCTTGTCGGGGAGGATCCATCATTACTGTGAATGGTATCCTCTTCTGGGCAAAAAAAGAGACTAAAGCTTCATTTGGCCAGACCTTGCGTCACCAAGCGTTTTTTTAATCTTCTCGCTTGATTGTGATTCTCTTTGAAGAACAAATGTCAGGTCATTTAGTTTTCAGTTCATTGGGTTTTGTGTTCGGTTTTAGCCTAGTGGAGGGTTACCATTTTTGGAACAGTTTCAATTTCTCCTGCTTGTTGGGATTGACCAAATAAGTACTTGTGCATTTTGTTATATTTAACTTGGGTCCAGCAATCGTTTCCAGGGACTCCCTGATTGTCAAGCTCATATTTGAGTTTGTCTTAGCCTCTAAAATAGCAGCGTTAACTTGTTTTGATGAGACGAACTTACGATCACTTTCATCTTTATTATTTTGGTATTTTTTTTTTATTATCATTGCTTCGAAATTGTTTGTGCATTCTCTCCGTGTGCGTAGCCACTCCCGACGTGCTTGGAGCAGTTAAGCTTCTAGGATTTTGATCGGTCATATCAGTTACTGCCTAGCCATTTGGGTTGAGAGGAGAATGGGCGTTCAGAGAGAGAATAATTGTTTATACTGCTCTTATTGTTTTCAAGTTTAAAACAAAATCTGTTTGAAATATGTTTTTCCGTTAATCAGCTGTCGCCCCCCATACGAACGACAACTCTCAGAAGTTGAGAAACTTGTGCGAGCCAAGGACTAACGAGGTCTTACCTTTGAACGTGTGATTCCCAAGTTATGTATTTCTTTTCGACTGGAGGTTTTTGTTGTATTGTGAGTTTTTGGTTCTCATCTGCAGATGGCATTGAATGATTTTCTAACCATTATTTGAGAAGTTTGATTTGAGCTTTCAATGACTCAATATTATCCTGTATTTGGGTAATTATGATATCTTTATGTTCAACAAGAGATTTCAAATATATAATTCCTTTCATAACTTCAGTGCTGATTTTGTCGATGCCACTACACTCAGAAGTCATCTCAGGCTCGTTACTGAAATCACAACAAATAATCGTTTTCTCACTTTCATTGATTATTGTCACATTTTTCATCAGGGATACACAATCGAGATGAGACATAGTTCCACATTGAACACAAATCAAGCCACTTTTTGTATTTTTGGTACACCTTTTACAAGGTTTTGTCGGATCATGTGAGACAATGACATTGCTGTTGACTGACATGAAAGCAAAGAACTTCACAATCAGAAAATTAGGGATAAATTACTTGCACATCCCAACTGGTCTAGATTCTGCTGGTCGGTAGCTAAAGCTGGTAATCAAAACTTTACAAATTCCACAATTCCCACACTGACACTAACGGATGGTTCAATTGCAACAAGAGCCATAGGAAAAGCAAATCTACAAGCTGAACAATTTGCATTCCCCTCCACAGACGATTTTTTGGGAAAGTTACCACTCACTGTTCTCTCACTAGAATCCACAATGCCGGTAATTACTTCTCGACAACATCAAATCAGGCAAATTCTGAAACAGCTCAATATCAACAAGGCGTGTCTGTTCCCGATCAAGTGCCAGTCATTGTACTCAGAAAGTGTGCAAATGAACTCGCACCAGTATTTTTCAGACTTTTCAACCTGTCTTACGAAAAAAGTAATTTTCCTTTTTGTTGGAAGATTTCTCGCATTCAGCCTATTCCCAAGAGGGCAAGAAAAATTTTCCAAGTACCTACGGGCCAGTCGCTTTGCTGTCAGTAATATCAAAAAGCTTTGAGAAAGCACTGAACCACTATATCCTTGAATATTTGGGAGGCTTCAACACTTTGAGCGATCAGATCAAATAATCCCACTTTCTGCTTCGATGAGTTTGTTGGGGGTTGAATTGGATTGTATCTTGGCACAATCATGTCGCTGAAATTGCAAAAGCCGCTTTATAAAACTCAGATCAGAACTTTTTTGGAGTATTGTTCTCATGTATGTAGTTCCGCCCCTAAGCATACCCTGAAACTGTTGAATTCTATCAAGAAAGGGGCCCTTCGCCTGATTGGTAACGCGAACATCACTGGCAACCTTGCTAGTCTGGAACATCGACGAAAAGTTGGAGAATTTTTCCTCTTCTATAGATACTTTCACGGGAAGTGTTCAAGTGACATCACACATGAGTGACATCACATTCGATTCCACCAACAGCGTTACATATCAGAAATATGCGATGGACTGTGGCTGCTCATCGTGTTGAGGTTCAATTCAGTACACCACAAGCTCCACTGTTCAAGAACTCTTTCATTTTGAGAACTGCGCTTATGTGGAATAAACTTCCTGAGAACGTTTTTCAAATGGATTTAATTTTCAGCGATTCAAATCCAATAATCACTACTTTCGCACAGGCACTGCTCTTCGAGTGCTTTGAAGATTTTCCTTTAGTGCTTGTGTTTTTTTTTTTAAGTCTAGTGATAGTATGCAGATTCTTTCATGCTCCTTTAGTCTTGTTCCCATGAATCTTTTGATGGTTTCGATGTATAACTTCCTACAAGTGCAAGATTTGCGATGGTGCAAGATTTGCGATGAACCTCTGTTGCTATACCATTTTATTGGTTTTGAAGAATTTATCAAACCAATTTCTGGTATTTCCTGTAATTCGTGTTGTAGTCAGATATGAGTTTGAATTCATTACAACAGGTTAACGATTTCCGACTCGAAATCAAATGAAAAGTAGATCAATTATTTCCTCAGGAAGTGTACCAAGAATATTGTGTCTTGAAATGTGTGGTGAAATGTGGAGCCACATAAGTTCAAGGTTTAATATTTTATGATGAAATGTTACCTCAACAAAAAAAATAATGTTTCAAATAGAATATCCATCACTTGAAATGTTCAATTTGTAGATGGTAGCAGCGATCTTATATAGTTTTATGATCTCAATTTGCGAGAGTATGTCAGGCATTTCAGATAAATGGTTTTTGATTGAACTATTTGGGATGACAATTCAAATCTTTAAATATATTTCACATACTGCATCGTACTGTTAATATTTCGTTGCATATGTTTCTATACAGCAAAACTTCTTTTGCTTTTTATGAGAATTGTTAATAACGTTCTCATTATATCTTTAGGAAATATGATAACGGTAATCCAATTCTGATGAATGTCTATTCTTGGGTTTTTTTGTAAAATTGTAAACTCGACGGAATGTTTTTGATTCGATAATGTGATTTTTTGCCACTATCACCAGATATAACTGATAATAAGTTTGAGATAAAAGATATAGGGCTGATCGTTGTTGAAGTTAGATAACATTATTTTTACTGAACCCAGTTATATCAGAGAGGCAGCTATTTGGGAATTAAAACACATATTTTCAGTTACATGTTGCTGAAAAATATTATTCATAAGATATGATTGTTTGGAAGAGATGTGTCTGTTTCAATGGCGAATGAGTACAATTCTCAAGACTTCACGTAATGAAAATGAAATTGATAATATTCAAACTTGATGCGATATATTCCAAATAAATCAGTTGGGAAACATTCAAAATTCACTCAAATATTGTATGAGTTCTTCTATACATTTTACAGTTTACAAAAAATCGTTCATTGAGAGATGAAACATCTTTAATCCTCAGTATGCAGAGGTTTCGACTCTTGAAAGTTATTTTTCAAATTAGAAAAAAAACTTATAGATTACCGGAAAAACTTATTCGAAACCATTTTTGTCAGAATTGGTAATGATATTTCATCTCAGGGGGCTCTGATTTGTTCGAAAATTGAATTTCTACTCATGGTTAATACGTCTTCCGTATGGTTAATACGTCTATTTGATAATAAAACATTTCCTGAGAGCGACTCAACTCACACTGTCAATTTCTATTGATTTTGTTACACATGTGATTTTCGATTTTTATAGTTCTCCCACCTTCATATTCATAAGAGCATCATCATTCAGGGACTTTGAAATTTAATTATTATGCATTGTTCAATTGGAAATCTTTGAGAATCTCCGAAATGAAGAAATAAACAGTATGTACATATCTCATGAAAATATGTCAATGCGTAATACTAGTTATGTGAAAAAATTCAGGCCTTTAGACAGAAAAGTCGAGCATCAATATGTACTTTTCCGAATAATGACATTACAGTTACAACTTTTTTCGTTGAGCAGTAAACTGGCATTGGATCGTGAGTTCGGATTACTTTTTGACCAGGTAGTTGAAGGTGTATCGATTGTGCTACATTACATTACTGCCAAGAATAGTATTGGTCGTGACGCTTCTCAGATTTCAGAAGTTAATGAAATTGATGTTCAAAAGAGTATTAAATGTGAACGTATATCTCTACGAACTTTCATGTACTAGCAATTTCTGAAGTATTGAATAGAAACATTCATTTCAATAGTTGAGGTTCAAAATCGATAACATTCAATTTTTCTTTCAGGGCAATTGGGCTTCTTTATCCTCACCATATCAGTTACGGTAGTCAATACCTGTGAGTATTACTATTAGTCCGGTTCGTATAATTGAAAGTAAAGTCATGCAAAAGTGATGTTTTGTTTTTACAATAATGTAATTGATTTTCAATCATATTCTTTGTGGAATTTATCGAGTTATACAATATCTTTTTTTTTTCAGTTTTCGCAATCACATTCTCAATTAGTAACTACACTTTAATGACGAGATTTCCTCCAGAATATATAAAAATTCATACTTATGGTTCTTCTATGTCCGGTGTCATCAGTGCACTTCTACAAATATGTTGTCTTGTCATTGGAGGAAGCTCTCTTCAAGTTGCCCTGATTTATTATTTATGTGGAACTGCAATTTTGGTTGTTGCGGCAATCTTGATTTACCTCACCAAATATTCACCTTTATACCACTATTATATGGAAGGTATTGAAGAGGAAACCAATAAACCAACTCCTTCGTTTGCAGATCTGAAAGAAGTATTCAAACGTGTATGGCTTGTATTACTTCCAATGGTTCTGACAATACCAGTAATGGGTCTCAGTTCAACAACTATTACAATTTTAGTTGTGTCGGAAAGCACAGGTGCTTGGGGCAGTGAGTATTCCAGCATATACATTTTGTTATCAATGCATAAAAAATGTTTGTCAATCAAATTATTTCATAAAGAAATTTTATTATAATTTCAGGCTCACACACACTTTGTTTCAACAACGGTAAAAATAAAATAAATACAACAATAAAAATTAATTGGCGCTCCGGGGCGACTTCATTGATTGCTTTTTCAGCTGCAGGAAAACCCGGAAAAACCTGCAGCACCACATCATCTGAAGATCTTGATCTAACAATGTCCTCTCTCTCATAAAACAAAATGTAGGGTATCTCCAGAGGCTCCAATAAATTCAATGCATCGCCAGAACATTTCGTGACACGACTATCGTCAAACTCAAACCAGTCCGTTTCTTCTTTGACCAAGGCGTAATAATGTAAAAATGAAGTTACATAATTTTGTAACAGAAGAAAGAAGTTTCTGTCCTGAATTTCCAGAGCTGTGACTAATGAGGTCTTGCATATGACTAGGGCGGAAAGAATCCAAACCACCAGCAGAACCAGAACGAAAAGATTTAATTGCCTCCGATACTTCATGTTCTGAAAATTGGAACACCGAAAACTCTGAAAAATCGTGTGGTAGTTGCGAATCCAGAGAATGTGTGGAGGAATCTGATCGGGGGTGTTTTGATCGGAGAACTGAAAGTGTGGATTCATCGTATTCGGCCAACGTATCACTTGAGCTCAAGATTCTGATAGCTGACCTAATGTCACCATCAGCTATTTTACTCAAAACAAGCTCAAAAAAGTTTTGGTTATATTTCCTTTCATCGATTTGAGATGGAATGACATTGGTCTTGGAATTGAGAAGTTTGATGTTTTTCTTTATGAGAGATGCGAGAGAAGATCTACGGGAGTCCTTGGCATGTGGGATGGAGAACAAAGTATAAGGAAAAGTTAACAAGTTTTCCCAGCTTGTTGGAGAGTTTGTATGTAAGCATTCTTCTATAATTTCGCAAAGGGCAGAGGCAGAGCAATTTCTTGCAGATTTGGGAATCCTTTTTATAATGTGACTGGATCGTTTCAATGAGGACAATTTTTCATGAAACGTAGTATTGAATGACGTATCTTTATCAGAATGAGGCAACAGAACAGAATCAACAGCTTGTGTGAAAGCTGATTCATTCAAAGAGGATTTTGTATTAGAAATTTTATGAACTCTACCATTATGAATGGTATTAGAAAATAGGCCTGCTGTGTTCAACCATGTTCAAGTACTGCGCTGGCAGTGAATGCGATAAATCTCTCTTTCACGAACGACTACTGACGAAAATAACTGCAACGACCCCGATATAACTAATAAAGTATTAGTTATATATTCATTTGCAACAAATGCATTGAGCATACAGCTTTCTACCTATGACGGCAACGGTGGTTTGAGAATGGTTCCATTTCACCTTCTGATGGAAGGATCCAGAGAACGTTGAACTCGATGTTGCTTGTTAATCTACCACTTGATGAAAATTCGTCGGTACTATAGCAACAGAGGCTTTCATGAGCGGAGTCACAATCGATGAGAACCGTGGTCGATTGAAACTTGAAGTACCAGAGTTTCGTCTGCTACTGCGGCAGACATCATCAGTGCTGTAGGCATTGACTGCGATGATAGAGTCTCAGCAACAGCTCGTTGCTGCGTCTTCGAAATATATTTTCCATCTTCGCAGTCAACGCAAATACTACTAATGATGTCTACTGCAGTAGAAAATGAAACGTTTGATACCTTAGGTTTCATTCAACCATAGCCTACTTACCTGGATTTTGTTATCTTTAACAAGTGTAATTTTTAGAGACTTTCATCATCCTAACATTGATGGGAATCATATTGTAGATAAAAATTCCCAGCCTAATATTTACGTTTCATCGAATTATTCTCAGGCAATTCTTCATGCAATCAGATTCAATTTTGACAACAACCCATCTTTCCTTGACCTATTTATTTATTACCAAAACCTAATAAAAATCGTTCCGTTTGAACTCCCTATTGGTATAATATTCACTGTTCCATTCTGACAAACTTCAATGATAAACAATCAATCTAGTCATCAAAAGGGGTGTTTGTTCACAAAAGGTCGGATGTTATGTTCCTGAATTTCAATTGATGTCTTGGCATCCCAATAGTGAGAAACTAAGCGAATCTAACAAAATTTTCATCGGGACACATTTTGGGGGTCGGGAAACCTCGAAATTTTTCAAATTTCATCAGTTTTTGGCTTGCAACTCGTTAAGGAAGCCTCCCACAGAAAAATATATCGGTTTTACAAGGACGGGCATTGAATTCTGAGTCGAATGGTCTATTATACAAAGAAAATTGGTTCGGCTGTCTGGGAGAAATCGCTCGTTGAAAACGGTTATTTTTTCCAACTGTTTCGAAGAATCTATTTCCGGCATTTTGAAGAGATGTAACTCCAAAACTGTCATTCCAGTCGAAAAAAGTAATGAAATAAAATTGTTAAACATGAAATTCTGCCTTCAGGAAGTACAAAAATTTTGGAAATGATCTGATATTCACGTACATACCGACAATTTTCCTAGTTTTCCCCAAAAAGTCAATAGGGAATATCAAGTGTTTCAACAGACACCGATTCCGCTCTTTTTCAACTGTTCGGAACCCTTTTGAAGTTCATCATCAACTGTGAGAAATGAGAAGGGGGGTTGGGCCAGCAACAATAAAAAATTTCGAAAAGTTTGTAAGTTGCTGATAAAAATTATTTTAAGTTCATGAATAATCTAAAATGTTTGTGTACAGTCAAAAATCATACTAATATACTACTACTTTACTGAAACTACTTTTCCTACTCTTGATGAAGAACATTAATACAGAGAAAGGCGTTCAAAAATTGTTCAAAAAATGTTCAAAAAATGTTTAAAAATGTTCACAAATAATTAAAAAAATGTTCAATCTCATCTCAACCTTTTGAAAAAATATTGAAGAGTTGCGTCGATGGGCTGACGTTAAAAGGGAAGGGCAATTTTTGATCACAAAGGGTTTCTCTTCTCCCCTATCTCCATTCGTTTTGTTATTAGTTCTTCCTTCCGAACACCTGCTAGTTCGTTCCTAGTTTGCTTTCAGTAACTGTGACACAACATCGCCAATATTCGGTCAAGGAAAGCTGAAGGTGTGCACTACTCTCTGCAACAATAACTCAATATTGTTGTAGAAAACTGTCGAAAAGTACACTGATCTGATGAGAACACGCTCTATTATGGCCAAGTAGACGGAGCCCATCCTCTACCCTTGATCAGATGAAGTACGTAATTTTTTCAAAGTGTAACTTCCGCAAGGAGGTCGAGTTTGCACAGTTGCCTCCCATGCTCGATGCAGCTCGCTACCACTCTTACAAGACTCATTATCAAATTCAAGTATGGCTTGGAAATACGCTCGACCCTGAGCAGAGGTGATGGTAGAACAGCCTGCAAAGCCGGATAGCCATTCAAACGACAAGAGACGTAGCACCGCAGGCACTCCTCATAAGCATTTTCTGTACCTGCAAACGAGGGTGTACCTCCGCGTGTTCTTATTAGAAAATAGGCCTGCTGTGTTCAACCATGTTCAAGTACTGCGCTGGCAGTGAATGCGATAAATCTCTCTTTCACGAATGACTACTGACGAAAATAACTGCAACGACCCCGTATAGAGCCTTCCAAATCTGATGACGAGAATGAGCCTATCGTCCTCCTGCCCATTTCAGTAGAACAAAAAGAACCAGGCCCTTCTAAACAGTTGGGAGAAAATGAACATTTTCAGATGTTATTCAACATTGATATTTCGAAAGTGTAGTATCAGAATAGCAGTAGTATATTAATATAATTCTCGACTATACATAAACTTTCAATCACTTATGAACATGTAAATAATTACAGATTACAATTATTATTACACAACAAATTACATAACAAATCACTAATTAAATTACATAATAGCAAATTAGTCATTTTTTAAACGTTTTCAGTGTTGCCGGCCTAAACACCCATTCCCACTATGAATATTTCATTTTTACAGTGGTTGTTGAACCTTGAATGGATTTGAAATAGTTAAGTATGAGGAAATACTTGATATTATCCTATTGAGTTTTTTGAGGGTAAACTGAGAAATTGTCGGTATGTACCTTAAGATCAAGCCAATTTTAAAATTGTTGAGCTTCGTGAACGCAAAATTTCATGCTCTAAAACTTTGGTTCAATGTCTTTTTTCGATTGGAGTGACTGTTTTGAAGTTACTGTTTTTCGAATGGCCGGAAATGAATTATTCAAAAAAGTTGGAAAAATGGTCCTTTTTTAACGACTGATTGCTCCTAAGCGGCTGAACCGATTTTGATGTTTCCATCGGTCATTCGACGCAAAATTTAATGTTCTTCTATTTAGGACCTTTTTTGTTCTCCCAAGTCTAGATTGATTGAAATAATGGTTTTTGAGTGAAGATTGTGTAAATAAAACTGAATATCTGACTTTATTCATATTATACGACGTACAAATATAACTCAAATTTTTATACCGGACAGAAAATGTTTCGATAACAGAACAACCATCAAATGATGTGATTGTCAAAAAGACACTCATTTTGGAATCAACCCAGAAATGATAATGACGTCAAATCTCATAATAAATACAGGAAATTCTCGACCACTTTACTTACGAAAAAACATTTTGTTGACGTAAAAAGCAACAAACAACTTCTCAAACATATTGAAGAAACTGTTGATATGAAAATCCAAATTATTCCTTCCAAAAATAACAACTATGAAGGAGTTACTATATCAAATGATAAAGCGAACATTTCTATCTGAAAATTAAAGGAATCTTTCGTAAGTGCAAAAGTTGGTTACCTAATAAAACGTTTGAAATATCAGACCCAACAACTGTCTCTGGAATGGAAAACTACACGAGAATACCCATTTCCGAAAATGGACATGAGTTAGATCTTTCGAACTATCCCAAGTCTAACGTGCCTTCCTTGGAGATGCACAGATAACGTTATCATTGATATATTAACTGTTTTCTTCTCAGAGACTGAAGTACATGAAAACCACAAGAAAGATTGACACTTACAGCATTTTGATATCACTTATCGCCAATTGCGTTGGATTTTAAATTTTTCATCGAATAGATCTCGCCTATTTCCAATTCCATATACATAAAATAAGGATATGTAACTGGCTTCCTGCTTTTCAATATTTTTTTAACAATAATGTATACAAATTCGAAACTAACTTTATCTTGTTTATTAGTTGAAGGACATTTTGTACGAATTCAAACCAATATTTTAACCGAGGCGAAGCCCTATGACCTGAAATGGGAAAATCACATTGAAAAAATTATTGAAACGTTAACGTAATATCATGGTAACTATATTTTCAAATATATCTTTCGAATTCTCATTCATAATTCACAAAATATATATTAGATCAATTATCGAGTATACTGTGCCAGTTTCTACTTAGCTCCAATACCTTTATGCGTTGAGTCCAAAGACATGCACTCGAATCCAGAGGCATATCACTTATCAATCCCAAGAAGGCCATGACTTACTAATATAATCTCGAATAACCATAGCTATACGATCATCAATTACGGAGTGTTATTAGTGAATCATTCAGAATCCTGCATTTGTGGCAAAGTGATGTTGGAAGAATGGGAGGTTCCCTATTTGAAATATTGCGAGAGAAAGATTTTTGAAACTGTGTCGCCGGGTCAGCAGCTCAGGTGTACCCGGGAGATATAACTCAAACCTCCTTTCAATGTCGGACGTGGATACACATGCCTATCACTCCTGAAGACGGTATACTCAGTTTCTAGAACACGCAAAACGGGTCCCCAGGCGAAATAGTGAGAATATGTATCAGATCAACTCGAAGACCTGAATAATGATTAATATTGATGAGACTTTGTACTGAGACTGTTTTACGGTTATACATTCTCTGTCAACTTGGAAAACGTAGAATTTCGTGTTTAAAGTTTCTATATAACAGAATGGTTTGAATGAGTTCGAAACAGTTTTTCTGCTTGATCCGTAACCATGAGACTATTCGCATCAAGTGAAATAATCAACATTTTCTGGAAAGAGGGAAAAAACTGACGAGGTATCGAGATTCACTCTTGGAGCTCCAAAGACTTTTTTGAAACCACTTTGTTCGGTATGGAGGTGACTGAAATGAAATTATTCCTTCAATACTATGAAGTTGCATAATTATACCGTCTCACCTCAAAACGGTAGGAATCTAAGGTGTACAAATTCAGATGTTCGTTTTCTCAGGTCACACCATTTTTGAACACAATGATCGCTGACTACAAATTCGTTGGAAAAAGTCATTGGTTGACGATGCCGTTACACCCTACAAATGAGTTGAAGCTTTGGTCACAGTTTCACAAATTTTTGAATGAAGAAGGGAAAGCCAGGAAGCTTTTTTCCCAATGATGAAGTGATTATTGAACAATGGAAAATAAATTGAGAGGGATCGATAGCTGATACAAAATTATCCGTTAATGTGTGAAAATAATGAATTGAAGAGCTTCACTAAAAAATGGGAGTAGGGTTGGAACCTGAAATGAGAAACTAGGATTTCCAAAGTTTAGCAGATTCCAGAGGCACTCATAAAGAAGTTGTAGGTCTAAAACCGAAAAGAATATCTGACGAAATTTCTAGATTTTTACTGAACATTCTAAAGCAGATTATGATGAATTTTCAGAATGCCCCCTATACTTTCTACTACTCCATCTTGATACAAAAAAAAGGACGAGGGAATCTTCCAAAGAAAGGAAGTAAGTAATCCATTTGAAAATAAGTAACTCTATACGTGGATGTGTAGATCATGCAAAGAAGTAACTTACAGACACAAACTGAAAGGAAGTCCTCCTGATACAGCTACTTTCATATAAACATTGAATTACACGAAAGAAAAAAATTCTTTCGAAACAAATACTTCCATATAAATACTGAATTATACAAAAGATACTTTTCTCTACTCAGTTTGTATTTCAAACATTCGTTGTGGAATAAAAATCAGATATCATTCACATGAGTTCTACTTCAAACGATTGGTAACAAATTGCACTTACATGGAACACTGTCACCCTCAAAGAGTGCAATTTGTTACCATTCGTTTAAAGTAGAACTCATGCGAATCATATCTGATTTTTATTCCACAACGTATGTTTGAAATACAAACTGAGTAGAGAAAAGTATCTTCTGTATAATTCAGTGTTTGTATGGAAGTATTTGTTTCGAAAGAATTTTTTTTTCGTGTAATTCAATGTTTATATGAAAGTAGCTGTTCCAGGAGAAATTTCTTTCAGTTTGTGTCGGAAAGTTACTCCTTTGCATGATCTACACATCCACGTATAGAGTTACTTATTTTCAAATTGATCACTTCCTTCCTTTCTTTGGAAGATTCCCTCGTCCTTTTTTTTGTATCAAGATGGAGTAGTAGGAAGCCAAAAACTTTCTTTCCCAAAAATTAATCACTCCCAAAAATATAACCCCTTCAAGTCCCTTATACACAAAGCCACTCTGAAATATTCGAAAGGCGACATTAGAGTCTGATCTGTACTTCTATCAAGAATAGATCTAGAGTCGATACAAAAATTACTGAGCAAAAAAGGAGGAGCCTATTACACCGTTCGACGAATAAATAAATTGTTATGACTACTCGTAACTTGAAAATAGCATTTTCGAAATCTCAAAAGGTTATTACATACTGGTATTAGTAATAAACGTTCCTACTTGCTTGGAACTAATCATAGAAATATCAATTAATTTTTAATGGCCAGAATAATAATAGTGGATGCAACGTAATGTGATGAAATTCCAATCCATTTTGAGAACAATACATACAATCAGACATATTTGGAATTCCAACACTATAAAAAAAGAACAGTGGAAGAAAAGATGGCTGACTGTTCTTCGTTCGAGCAACAACCAGTATACACTCCTACATTCCTCACTATCAGAGGATATTTCTCACATTTTAAAATACAGGGTACCTAAATCCTATTTTTTACCATCAAATCATAATTGCTTTTCTCTACACTTAACCAAAATTGGCATTACTAATTCTGATAAATGTTCATGTGATGGTGTATCAGTTTCAAACAATTCTGTTTTCGAATGTGCAAATAATTCAAAAAACACATCGGAGTTCCTCACAGAGTTAATCTTACTAAACATACAATTTTCCATTGATATCGTAAGTTTACTATCACTAGAAAATAATCAAGGCTATAATTAAATTTATGAAGAAATGTCAATTAAAAATATAGGCAATGTATGCCCATTTCAAATTTCTGTGGCAAGTAGAATACATTCTAATGCCAACCTCAACCACTGCCCCCTCCTTCATCATCATTCTTGAGAAATGTTATACTGGATAATAAAAACACTTTCTCTCATTACATATATACATCGATGACATACAGTTTATTGACAAATTATTCTATTTTTTAATTCATTCATGATTTCAGTACACTGATTTAACTTTTTCCAGAAAAATTTTTCACGCCTGTGTCCACTTTTCTTCTGAAAGAAATATCAAGTCTCCTGGGGAGAGTCTTTGCAACTCCAATTATGACGGTGAGTGAATATTTTTTTAGTTCCAGGGAATTCCAAGCTTTTGAATGAAGCTGGAATGTAGAACATCTCTATCCCGAATATGATTCAATTCTGATGAAGGTAACAATTTCTCATTATTAGAATTTGTTCAGTAATATCAACTGAATGCGCCTATAAATAGCAAAATGAATTCAAATTTCATTACAAATTATTGAGTCATGTTCGTGTTGATCCCTACTGAAGAACTTATCAAAAAAAATTAAAAATTTTATTTTGCATAAAATGTTACGCTCATTATTATCATTCTGCGATTTGATTCATCAGGAAAGACAAAATAGAAGAAAATGTTTGATCGAGACGGCAGAAATGGTCAAAACTATTATCGATAGTGAGATCACCACTATTATTTTTTCAAAAACTATACCTCACGATTTGATCTCCACAAACTTTATTTGAAAAATATATTCACAACATGTTTCGCTAGCACATGTTTCTCAAGTGTATTCATACACTTGAGAAAGCTACTGTGCTTTCTCAAATGTATGAATACACTTGAGAAACATGTGCTAGCGAAACATGTTGTGATTATATTTTTCAAATGAAGTTTGTAGAGATTAAACCGTGAGGTGTAGTTTTGAAATTACTATAGATCCTCATCAAGTAACGGCCGAATCAATCAGAAAACCACTATTGTTGGTGGTAATCAACAGAATAAAGGAATATAGAATACTTCTGCAATGAAAAAAGTCGCTCAAATTAATATATCAGTGGGATTATGAACCTTACCTTTTTTTTTCGTTTCAGCGTAAGAATGCTAAATGGTTGATTCTTCTTAATTTGCTGCAAGCTTATGGGTTTGGTATACTCATTCCCTTATGTAATGCCAAACCTAAAAGTCACCTACCAGTTCTATTTCCCCATGATTGGCAATATATGTCATTGATGACCCTTAATGGACTCATTATGGGTTATTGTATGACTGTTACCTTTCTCAGTATGTCAAAGTAAGTTGAAAGGAAATTCATCATGTAAGTGGATTATAAGAATGATATTATTTAAATGTACTTAATCATTCGTCACATCAAAAATATTCAGATCTTTATTGAATATATTTGGCATCTGTTCCATGAAATTATCAGGAATACGAATCGATGATATTCTTGTCGTAAAACACAATCGATAATAACATACACTTCTCACTTCTCATGGAAACACCCCCGTATCTTCCGTAATATTCGACGTAGAACGATGAAACTCTCAGGACTGACGGGAATGCTCAAAATGCACCTACCACCTGAATGGGGTTGGCCAAAGTGATATACACTGTCCGCCACTAGCGATGGAACACCCCATTTTTACGGTAAAACATATTAGGGGGCAAAATAGGCTCAAAATTCCTTCAGATTCGTGATCAGGATTACCAACTCATTACAATTACACTTTTTTTCCTGGAAAAATTTCAGTCCTGAAAAATCCGAATTTGTTTCACTTCTCATGGAAACACCCCCGTATCTTCCGTAATAATTGAAGTAGATTTTTTTTCTGGTTTTGACATCAAAACATGAACAGAATTGTTCAAGAGAAAATCGACTTTTGTTTTCAGATGAATAATTTATTTTTTATTTTGTTGTCAGGAGAGTTATTCCTTCTCAATAAGAGAGAAAATGGTAATTATGTAAGAGGAACGAAAACATGTAATCAGTGAGGTTTATGGATGATTAATGTTAGTTCATATTCTCATTTTCCCATTATTAAAAAAAAAGGGATATTTTGTAGCGAAAAATGTTATGTAGTTCAAAATTCTTTCGAAGTACTACTTTCAAAATCACATTTTCAATTAACAAACAAAACAATCAATTTCAAATGATTCAACTGTTGACAATTTTATATTTTCGTGCCTTCTATGAAATTTCCCTCCAATGGATCACATTTTTCTATGCGCCTTTCATTATTTCCTACAAGTCTTGTCAGTTCACGCTTGTACGGAGATCTTCCTTATTTGTTGACCTATCCTCATAAACTTAATTTTTCAAGTTTCCCCATAAAAAAAATCCAGTGTAGTTAAATCTGGGGATCGTGGTGGCCATACTACGAGAGGACTATTGGGTCCTTTCCATTTCATAAGTAGATCCCTATTCAAACAAACCCTTATTATGCCACTATTGTGAACTGGTGAACCATCTAACTGAAAAATCATGCTGTGTCTCACATCCAAAGGTAGTTCTTCCAACACATCGGAAAATGCATTTTCGAGAAAATCAACGAATAGTCGTCCGTTTAGATTTTGATCGAAAAAAAATGGCCCGATAATATTTTCGTTCAGGATACCACACCACACATTAACTTTCTGAGATATTTGGTCTCTACAATTCACCAACCAATTTGGATTGTGTTCAGCCCAAAACCTCATGTTCATAAGATATACTTTAAAAAATTCCTGTCATTGAGATAATTTCCCTGCATCCATGAACAATACTCCATACGGCGGATTTCATCTCCTTCGTGCAAAATATGTAAAAATTTGGGTTTGAACGCATGTATCTTATGCCTCTTTAAACACCTCCATATTTTACTGCGGCTCATATTGAGTTGAAGCGATAAATTTCTAGGATAAGCTTGATGAGCCGCCAATATGGTATAATCATTAATATGATGTTTTACAATTTTTCTGTCCTTCATCACTTGGCCGGTGCTCACCAATAGATTATATATTTTATGTACAGTTCCAGAGTGTACAGCTACCTCTAGCGGGTGTATTCTATTAAATTCAGCGGCCGCCTCACGATAAGACCTCACACCTTCACCAACAATTAAAACAATTTCAATTTTTGCATGAAGTGACAGACGTGCCATGCCGAACTTTGTCAATCGAAATGAGCTGATATCAGTTAAAATGGGAACTTCAGAAATATTAAAATATGAACAGGAACTCACGAAAGAAAACAACTGGAACACAGGAACAATATCCAACACAAATACAGGAACAATAAAAACAATGGGAACAAAAACACGGCAGAAACAACAGGAACAACGGTGATTCAAAGAACAACAATACTAGAAACAACAAATGCAATGGAAACTGGTCTGGGGGTTATTACAACAAGATCTTTCAACAATATTGTCAGATTGACAGTAAATATTAATGAACAACTGTTTTCCATGGTGATTTCAGGGCACCGCATTCTACCCGTTCACCGAATGCGATTTTTTCTTTAAAAATTAACAGTTGTTTCGTTGTTGCAATGAGTATGAAGATAAATTTTGTTTAGTATGGTAAAATGTTTCCTCGATATTTTGATAAAGGACCCCGCATATTTCTTTTAAGAAATGGCTTGCCTTGAATTTTGGCGAAATTTTGATATGTTGTAGTTCTTGATGTGCTGATTGAAAGTGTCCACAGCCAAAGCTCAGAATTGTACAGTTTTCGAGATGTGAACCTTTGAATATAGACTTTTTCCATTTTTTGCAATTTTTGCCCATCAATCGAGAGCTCTCACTTCTGGTTGGGATAGAATTTGGATATTCAGCAACAAGAAATAGTTTTACGAATAATCTTCTTCAGTTATAATAGATGCCGCTATCGATAATTTTTCATACACTGTTTCACTCTATCTCGATAATCTGAGAATGTGGTGCTGTGACATTTTCCTCAGATAGGCTCAAAATAGATGATAGCATCTCACAGCATCTGTATCTTCCATACCTGAGAGTACTCACCAGATAGAATGAAGGGGTTCAGGTATTGGAAGCGAACTATTTTGCGTCGTAATATGTTTTACTGGAAAAATAGGGTGTTCCATCGCGAGTGGCGGACAGTGTATATTACTTTGGCCAACCCCATTCAGGTGGTAGGTGCATTTTGAGCATTTCTATCAGTCTTGAGAGTTTCATCGTTCCACCTCGAATATTACGGAAAGATACGGGGGTGTTTACATAAGAAGTGAGACAAATTCGGATTTTTCAGGACTGAAATTTTTCCAGGATAAAAGTGTATTCGTAGTAAGTTGGTAATCCTGATCACGAATCTGAGGGAAGTTTGAACCTATTTTGCCCCCTAATATGTTTTACTGTAAAAATGGGGTGTTCCATCGTGAGTGGCGGACAGTGTATATCATTTTGGCCAACCCCATTCAGCTGTTAGGTGCATTTTGAGCATTTCCATCAGTCCTGAGAGTTTCATCGTTCTACCTCAAATATTACGGAAGATACGGGGGTGTTACCATGAGAAGTGAGACACACTGTATACACAAATGTGTGCTCGATTATATTCGTAATCCGTCACCTGGAATCCTCACATCTAATCATCTTCTATATGATCAAATATGTACAAGTTCTCAGGAAATAGCAAGAATTCATTCAAAACCTGGATCAACTCAATAAATCCAAAGAACTGCAATATTTTACGAACAAAATTACTTGACATGGTGAATTTCTCACAACCTCAGTATCATTAAATCTTGTATTGACTCATCAATGTTATATCAACTTCTTCATATTGTAATTGATACGCACGAAGTCAGGCCAAACAAGTTATTTCTATGCTCAGCAGTAAATTTTTTGTCAGAAAAACAGGTAATTTTTCTGAGGAAACAATTGAAAATATACCTTATGAATATGTCCTACATACATGGTAATTTATATTGCTCATTATAGTGATGCAATAATTTTATAGAAAAACAACTCATTCAACAGTAGAGTTAATTTTTCAAACAGCAGAAAAGAAACTCGAAAGTTGAAACAAAAGACTTGCAGATTAAAAACGAGTGCAACGGGTGTTTGAATAAACGTGAGAAAGCAACACTGGAGACGTGTCATATGATACAGATGAAGTTCGTTATTGTTGTTGTTCACCAGGAGCTGTTAACACCTGCATTTTATTCCTTATATTTTTCAGGTATTCTATAGTCGGATTGAACATGCTTCCATTCAACAATTCACCGTGTAACAGAAATTTCAATTATGTTCGAGCATTCTTCGAAAAACGCAACACAACGCAATATACCTGGTGTCTCAAACATGATCAATTACAAAAAAAAATAATCAATAAGGGAAAAATGACTGTCGAGAAGAGAGAAGTAGAATGGCCACCGAAAAAAAAAAGGCTGCCGTATAGAAAGAACAATAGCGTTGACCTATAGTTGAGAATAAAAATAATGGTTGCCTGTGATTTGCTATTAGAACAAAAAACAATGGCCGACATCTGAATAGTTTGAAATCAGACCCTTGCGTAGTCGGATCATGACACATCGAATGGAAGAGGGATACTGCATGTATTGACAGATGAAAAACAATTACGGCGACATATCCAAAATGTATTATTGCTATTTCAAAAGTTGACATATGCACGTATATGAGTAGGAAAGGGATGACGTTAGCGAATGGTAGGGAAAAAAAAGATATCGGCATTTCAAGAGGCACTAAGTCGTATCCTCGGTAATGATAGATGTATCGTGATATGCAGCACATCAATTTGAAGTAGCGAGGTTTTGAATTCATTGAAAATAAAAAAAAACAACATGACGGTTTGTAAAAAGAGCATTATTGTTATTTCAGTAGACGGCGTGTGTGAGAGTGAGAAGAACTGTAATATGCATGTATATGAGTGAGAACTGAATGCCAAAAATAGCACCAAGTCATATCCTCTCCAATGATAGGTATATTGTGACGTACAGCACATCAAATGAAAGGTATATTGAATTCATTGAAAGAAAAAATACAAACATGGCAGCATTTTGAAAGGGCATTATTGTACATACAGGATGAAAATTTTATTGATGCAGGATACTGTAACATACTTCAAAATATTTTAAAGTTGCAGTAAATAATTCACCATTTGAAGAGATACGGAAAATAAGTATTTAGTAGCAACAAGAAGGAACACCGTCTCTTAATTTAGGAACCGTTAGCGTCAATGATTTCATTTTAGGTGAATGGCCAATAATGGACAATAATGTTTTACAATTATTTGATACCTACCCTAGATGCCGATAAAATCAGTCTGCTATAAATAACAACTTGATGACGACAGTCAATAAATGCCTTAATGTTGATGAAAATGTATATTTTTCGTGAAAATACATCACATTATTTTTGAATGTTTGCTCCTTTATGAAAAATTTTTTACTTATTCCTATGAAATCCTGTTTTCAATAAAAGAACATGACGGCAAATTGATAACTCTGTTGAACTCTCTCTGACTGATCAAAATAAAGGTTTCGTAGCCCATAGTTTCATGGTTTACCAGGCGCATGAGTCATGTTTTCCAAACAAACTGCGATATCTCGTGAATGGTTGTTATTTGATGTAGGGAATGTTTCATCAAAATGAGTTGAAATCATTAAGGAATTTCAGAACTGTCCTAGAAAAAGGAATAATCCGCTTGAAAAAACTGAGTGGCCCATTTTTGTATCTTCAGAAATACTCATCGATTCCGGACACCTTGTATAATATTTTGGAAGTGTTTCTTCTACAAGACGATGAAATATTTTGTTTTGAAGAGTGAGCAACTTCTAATTGATGTATTCTATCAACTTCAAAATTGCATAGGGGAATCACTGGAGATCCAAATATCTAGTTTTTTTTTGAGTAAACAAATGAATATTTTAAGAACGGTACATTTTTGGTAGATAATGTATAACATGAACTCACATCATAATTATACCAGGTATTCGAAAATGTGAGACTCCTGAATTGAATAAGTTGGTGCCAACCGCCGGTATAACCAAACGTGTTGGAGAAACGTCATTATTTCCATTCGACGGATCATATAGAAAAGCCTATATTTGTTAATTTCCAAGCTGAGAATCCTGTTATTTCCCAAAATACGGCTAACCAACAGTCATACAGTACCCTGTATATGAATTCTGGCAAATATTTCCAGTGTCATTCAGTATGCTTCCTTGTTTCATATTCCACCACAACCAAATGAATTTGATCTCAATGAAGAGACTCATTGAATAACTATCGAATGAGTTTCTCCTTTGAAGATATCAAATTATTATTGACACCACACCTATCTCCAGCAGTCTCTAAAACATTTTGATAAAGCCTTCTACTTCTTCTTGGTTTGTATTTTTTGATGAAGAGAATTTGCTCACGAAAACTGAAACAGAATGTCATTTAATTTTTTTTTTTCAGTTTTGCTGGTGACAAGACGGAACAAGCCTTTCAACTATTTCAGGGCACTATGATGATCATGATGAGTGTAACTTCTCCACTCAATCAAATTTGGGTGAATATCCTCTAGGATGCTTTGAAAATCTGACAGATTTTAAGCGTATCGTATCGAAAAAAAATCAACAGGGGTCTCAAAAAGATATGACAAATGTATTAAACAATAAAAATATATGAAGAGATTGAAGTTTTGTAAACATATTTTTGTGACAAGATGAACAAAAATTCGGCTTTGAATATTCCAAAAATTGTTCTTATGGTTATGAATTAAAATAGAAAATATGTACAAAATGAGTTCTTGAGTGATCATGATATTATTTTCTTCTATTGAAAGCTATGTGAGAATATTCTGGTCCTAGTATCTATACTTCTGTATTTAATCCCTTTTTTATGTTTGAAGTCTGTAGGAAACGAAATGCTCCAAAATACTCTGCAGATTATCAGGGTACCTTTTTGAATTCGGTCACCCAGTCTTTAAGTTACCAATCACACCCGGGCAAAATAGAGTACCAACAAATATTGATACTGATATTTTCGATAATTTGTTTTTTTCCAATCATTTGAAATATCTACTCATGGATGACAGACATCCATTCAGTATTTTCGTATTCTTGAAATTTTTTTTCACGAATTCGATAAAACAACTCATTCTTTTTCTTTCTAATCATAATATTTTGAGCGATTCGAGGTTTTTACTTATAGATTCCCTATATGGTTAACTCAACCAATATCAACATTTCAAAGTAACTGAAAAATATTTAGAGATATTTTTCATAAACGTCATGAACATATTGATTACAAACTCCCTTCATAACCTTGTATTTCTACTTAATTCAATCCCGTGAATGCGTTTCACAGCTATGATCAAAAATTGGCATCGTCCATGAGTTTGATTACATGTTAGGATACATGCATGTATTTCGGTTAGTTCGACCATTGATGGATCCCTATTTGCCTCCAATATTGTTCTACCCACTTGGGCTTTAACCGATACATTTTGTTTTTAATGCCAAGTTGTTGAAAATATTTTCTCAAAATTGGTCTGTTTGAGGCCATCATTCAGTTCAAAAGTTTCAAATATAATATCTCGTTATTGAATTGGAACAACATACTTATGAATACGTACTGTTATAACTCAGTTTTTATAAATTGTATATGTCCATATCAGACATTATATTCAGGATGACGGTATATTCTGGAAAGTATTCATTATTTTGTGAACTTATTACATTTTTCCAGATTCTCCTAGTATACATATTTGTTCATTTCCACTGTAATTTTCCCATCAGTTTATTATGATATCTCGTGCAGAAAAATGTTCAAAAATTTTCAAGAGGTTCAATGTGATGATATGAACGATTCAATATTGTATTTTAAAATTTTGTCACTGAGATATTCCTTTAATTATGCTGTAACAACTTATTGAAATGGAATGAAATTATATTCATATGTAGTTTTTCGTTTTATTTTCCTCAGTCTTTCAGGAATTTTCCATATATGAAATTTGATACTCGTCATTAGTATTTTGAGACATAATAATAATATTCATTCACTTCTCTCGTTGAAAGGTATATTTTTTTTACAAAATAGAACATAATAACAAGGAAGACGTCCATGTAGTTTAAAACATAATAAATATATTTTTCTGTTTGATTCAGCGGTTCCTTGATGAAAATCCATAGTAATTTCAAAACACTACACCTCACGATTTGATCTCCACAAACTTCATTTGAAAAAATATTATCACAACATGTTTCGCTAGCACAGTAGCTTTCTCAAGTGTATGAATACTTCAAATTGTTCTTACATTTATATACCATAATTGGTATATATATACCTGAATCTCTACCTAAGGTACTTGTTGAATTATGATTACCTAAAGCATATTACCTCGCATCTACATCAATAATAATTCTTTCTAGGATTTTAAGAAAACGAGTTCACTAATGCTTATCTATTCAAATCTAGTTGGTCATTCATTAGAATGTTTGAATTTTTGAGTTTATTAATTTCTATTGCTTCCAAATAATTCAGTTTCAAACCTTCATTTTCTAAATTTCGAACTCTTCGTTAAATATATGATTTTCTTCTAGAAGATGATTTGAATATGTTGAATTTGATTTCCTATTTACATAGCTCGTATGATGTTCCTGAATTCCATTCCTAAATGTTCTGCCAGTTTGAACAATATATACCTTATATATATTGGTCAAACTGGCTGGACATTCAGGAATCGAATCCAGGATCATCATACGAGCTATATAAATAAGAAAACAAATTCAACATATTCAAATCATCTTCTATGAATATCTTTAATGAAGAGTTCGAAATTTTGCACATAGAAAATGAAGGTTTGAAACTGAATCATTTGGAAATGGAAATTAATGAACTCAAAAATTCAAACATTCTAATAAATGACCAACTAGATTTGAATAGATCACCATTTTTGAATTTGTTTCCCCAAAATCCAAGAAAGAATTATTATTGATGTAGATGTGAGGTAATATGCTTTAGTTAATCATAATTCAACAGGTACCTTAGGTAGAGGTTCAGGTAATTTTTTGAAAGTAGTCTCAATTATGGTTACCTGTAGTATATAAATATAATAATGTAAGAACAATTTGAAGTATTCATACACATGAGAGAGCTACAATGCTAGCGAAACATGTTGTGATTATATTTTTTCAAATAAAGTTTGTGGAGATCAAATCGTGAGGTGTAGTTTTTTGAAAAAATAATAAATATAATTCAATACAAATTTTAAAACATTTACAGTCATTTACATATGAAAGGGCAGAACATTTTAATAATAGCCTAGTGTGAAAAATTATTGATTTGCAAAAATTCATTGATATAGCAGTTTTTTATGGTGAGATAGGTTTTCAATCGTGCTTTATAAATCAAAGAATTAGACGAATCTTTCATTTTTCTCTCCAATTTATTGAAAAATTTTGGTCCATGGTAAAGATGAATTTTTTGAAAAGGGCGGTTCGATGTGCAGTAGTTACCAATAAGTTTTTCGATCGAGTTGAATAACCATGATTTTGTCGATTCGATCATCAATGATTTTGATAGCATATTTCTGGAGTATAAAAACTTTTTGTGCAGAAGATACCGCTAGAATTCCGTATCCCATATGGGAATTGATGGTCGCATAGTATAGACACAGCAAAACTTCTTTCTTGTAGTGATTTCGCATGAATCATAGTGCGTAACGAGTTGTTTTATTCAATTTACGTGGATTTCATGTGAATTTGTGATCTATAGAAGACCAAACATTTTTGTTGTTGAACAAAATGTAGCCTCCAGATCGTTATATTTGAATAAACTAAGAATGTTATTCATATTACTTGGTAGCGGTAGATTATTTTCAGTAACCCATATAATTACTTTTTTATAAACCCATTCAGTTATTTCTGAAAGTACTATGGGATTGTTTGCTTTGATCAAGATGTTTGTGTTATCAGCATATGCAACTATATGTGTGTATCGTAAGGTCATGAAGGTACGTGATTAGATCGTTAGCATTAATTGAAAAGAAAAGAGTTCCCAGAATGAATCCCTGAGAAATACCCTGTTTCATTGTTATTGATAGACTTTTTTCACTTCGTACAATGACTTTTTGTTTCCTGTTTTGAAGATATCTCTTAAATCTTGAGCAATTTCCTGCACTCCAAGTCTTTTCATTTTAAAATTTAATAACTTGTGATCTACACAATCGAACGCTTTTGAGAAATCAATGAATAAGTCACATATTTGAAATATGCCGTCAAATATATCTGTTAAAAATCTGTTTCTCCGTTAACCAGCTGTCGCACCCCTACGAATGTTCATTGAAATCATATAGCGCTTGTTTTAGTATTTCGATTATTTGTAAATTCATGCTGTTTCGATGAGAGACGGTGTTTTGCTGTTAAAAATGATAGCAGTTGATTTTTAATATTCCAATCATATAATTTCGATATACTGGAGAGTAAACTTATTGCTCTATATGTACCATATATGATTTGAAAGGGTTATATTTTTAGGAGTGATTAATTTTTTGGGAAAGAATTTTTTTCTTTCGTGTAATTCAATGTTTATATGTAAGTAGCTGTTTCAGGAGGACTTTCTTTCAGTTTGTGTCTGAAAGTTACTTCTTTGCATGATCTACACATCCATGTATAGAGTTACTTATTTTTAAATTGATTAATCCTTCCTTTCTTTGGAAGATTCTCTCATCCATTTTTTTGTATCAGATGGAGTAGTAGAAAGCCAAAAACTTTCTTTCCCAAAAAATGTACCATATACTATTCAAATTCGTTTCTGTACATGGGGATCTCGTAAACGAAAAGAGATAGAGTATCGATTAAATAATGTCAAAGTTGCGAATTTGAGAGACCTATTCAATGATGTGAAAAAATCGAAAGTAGCTCGTTTGATTCTGAAGATATACAGGAAAAACAAAAAAACCTGAAATAATTGTTTTGTCTATATCTTCTTTATTCGCAGACATATTGAAAATCTGTCCCCATTTTGCTATTGGCATTTGATGTGAGCTATCAGAATCTTTTATATAGGGTGTTATCTAACTTGGCCACCCCCATCTTTGAATTTTTCAATACGGACCTGTATTTTTTCTTATAGTTTCTGGATCGTAGACGTTCACTTCATACTGAGAAATTGAATAGAATTTTATATTTATGGATGTTTCGGTAATATTTGATTATAATTAGGTGAATTATTCCCTTTTAAATCACGGCCTGGAAATTGAATATAAAATGCACAAATTCAAACGTCGAATTATTCTTCCTCAATTTCACGTACACTCTGGCTGAATATCAATACTATTTAAAACAAATACACTATAATTTGAGAGTATTACATACTTATGTAACTCACTTACATTTTTTTTGGGTAATATTTCATTCTATTATTCAAAAAACGGCACAACATGAACAAAAACATGGACAATGAAAACTTTTAAAGACTGTATGCTTTTTGATGAACTATTGGGATAATAATTTCCCACCTAATAGTGTTCTGCGCTAGAACGATGCTTTTTATATTAGCGAATAGATGGCCGAACATTCATTCTTATGTATACTTATATCTAGGGAAGATATTTTTCCCGTAAAACATTAGCTGCCTGACTTACATATGGTGGAAAAATATTATACCAGAAAACCTTAAACACAATACATAATAGCAGCTTCCACGTTTCCCTATGTACCGTAGAGTTTTTAGAGAGTTTTTTTTATTTTTAGATACCTATTATTAGTTTTTTCAAACTTTGATTACACTGAACGTTTTCT